TTAATGTCTGACTAAACGGTCAACTTAACGGAATGCTTAAATTGGTCATATTTGAAAATATTAGGATGTAAATTGATGAAATTGAAACCCTAGGGTTCATATTAAGAATGACCCCAAACCATTAGGGTGTCTTTTGTTGTTAGCCTTTTATTTATTTCTTTTTTCTACGTGCTGTGTTGTGTATGCGTTTTTTTTTCTCTCTTTTTATTGACTACGTGTTGTGCGAGGAGAACTAAAGGAGGCTGGGTTATTTAAATTAGGTGAGCTAGAATTATTATTCTTTTTGGCTGGAAAAAAAGAAGCCACCTCGACTATAGCTCAGGTTAGCCAAACTAAAGGTACGTCCCTGTTTGGATCAGCATGTTTTGGTGCTCATATGGGATTAAATTCTTCATGAAACTTGTTCCTATACAGGGACGAATCCATAGTGGAGTCAATGAGGTCAAACGATCCTATGAACTCCATGAAAGTAAGCTACAAGGTCCCCTTTAATGGTTGTGTGACCCAATGAATGGATGAAGGAGATGGTTGCTGGTCTGAGGAAGAAGAAGATGCAGAGCGAGGCTTCTGTTATTTTTTTGTTTTTTTATTTTATAAAAACATGCTGGCCAAAGCGGCGTCGTTTTAGCCCAGCGTTTAAATTTTTTTTTAAAACACGTTGGCCAAAATGGCGTCGTTTTGGTCCAGCCCCAGTGAATTTTTTTTCAAAGACCTGGCCAAAACGACGTCGTTTTGGTCCAGGTATTTTATTTATTTATTATATATATATATATTTTTAAAAGGACAGATTCAAAAAGAACTCTCCCAACTTTAACATCTCCAATCCAAAACCCCATATTCCTAAACCTAAATCCCCAATCTCCACCCCCACAAACCTTTAACCCTCTCCCCCACCAAACCTTTAAGCCCAAGCCCCAGCTCTTCCTAAAATTGAACTTTTACACTATGACCCTATTTTATGAGATAAGATTCCTAGGTCTGTCCTGTTCCTATGGGTGTCAACTACAACATATCTGAAATTGAGCTTCATTGAACAAGTATAACCTCCCCAACTAATCCAGCATCGATCCTAGCTATGTAAATATGTTTTGGGCCAGTATTACCTCCACTTGATGTCATCTTATTTCTACTTGTTACCATACCATTTGGTAACAATGAATTACCTTATTGAAATGGGATTTGCTGAGACAAAGGGAGCCTTGTAATGAATTTAAAAACCAAATCTCATCATTTCAAGAAGACGAGGAGGAGACAATGGCCAAAGACATTAGCAAAAGGTGGAGTTTAATATTGAAGAATGAGTTGGCAAGAGAGAGAAGGCAGCCAAGCAAGGGGAAAAGGATCAGCTGGCCAAGAGAGACATTGTCTACACTTTGCATTTTCTGAAACAAGAGAGGGAGAGAGAGAGAGAGAGAGAGAGAGAGAGAGAGAGAGAGAGGAGAGCAAAGGGCAGCAGCCAAGCAAGGAAGCTATGAAGGAGGAGAACTCTTCCACCATTAAAGGCTTTTATGCCTTCATCTCTACAAAATCTATAAACTTTTTCTAGTTATATTTTGAATTTGTGTTTGTAATAATTATGAAGAACTAAACTCCATAACTAGGGCTTAGGTTGAAGCCCTGAACATGATTACTCTATTGTTTTGATGCTTGAGTTATTGGATTTCTAGATGTTGTTGATGAATTTATTTTCACTAAATTAATCATATGCTATGTGTGTGCTTCCTTTGATTGATCACCTTAGGTTGTATGCATCTAGCTAAAGCTGAGAAGTTGTGTAAGATACCAAAGAACATAATTTCTAATTAGCAAACAAATGATTGAATCCTTTTTAAGTGAGCATCATGTGAATTAGTTTCTTGAATGCCTATTGTAAACATCATACTATTAGGGTTCTTGTGATGTTCATATCTCTTCAATCTTAATGGGTTTTTCATATGATTAAATCGAAGTATTAAGCACACCTAGATTGATTGTATGGAAAGCACGAGTATTGTAGCACTAAACACGCACTTTACTTATTTTAGAGAGAATCTTACATCTTGATCCATTAAACCTTGTCATGATTTCAAAAATCTTCATCAATCTAGAGTTAATAACTTGAGTATTCATGGAAATGAGTAGGATTGTTTATGGTGGATTCCGAAAACCCTAGTGTTTGTTACCATATTAAATTACACTTTGTTAATCACATTTGTTGATCTTATTAAAATTAGAGTTTGGTTACATTTTAAACATTAGAATTAGGTCATTTGAATAATCAAACCCTCCCCCCTCCTTTTGTTTGTGTTTGTTGTTTGAAACTTTGAGTGTTCTTTTTATTGAATTATGTACACTTCTGTAACTGCTTTTGACATTTGGTCATGTTGGGTTCTTTATTGTTTCATTCTGAATCCAACCATATAAAAATAATAATGTTCTCATGCAGTAGGAGGGTATGTAATGTGTAATTTACACAGGTAGTCGTCGCCGGGGATTAGTCCAAGACCTAGCAAGAGCTTTAAGTAGTCGATAGTTTGATTTTATGATAGATCTCACCAGAATTGGTGCAAAAACTGTTATTCTAGTGTAACTACAAAATGGTTGGAATATTAGTGCTTTAGGCTATTGACATCAGCTGCTCGTTATTGGTAATTTGCCTATATTTATGTTTTCTTTGTAATTTTCATCTACCTCCAAGTATTATTCCATACGTGTGGAAAAATTGTTTTGGTGTTGCGTATAGCCGCGCGGCTATACTTGTAAAATATTCCAATAAATATTTTTAAAGAGTATAGCCGAGCCGCGCGGCTATACTTGTAAAATATCGAATACAAATATTTCAAGAGTATAGCCACACGGCTATACATTTAAAATATACGAATTTATTTTAAAAGTATAGCCGGGTTTAGGGTTTGTGAATTATAGTTTTGATGATTATTATAATTTGATTCCTGATCTCCCTTCAACTTTGTTATTGTATGATAAACACTAACATACTTAGACACAAATAGTTTATTAATTAATAATTTACATAGTATTAAGCAAATAAAATGGACTTGTTCGTTTGTTTTGTCCCAAGTTAATTATATAAGAAGAGCAAAACCTACACGCTCAGAACTCAACAACCTTAATTTGCAATGTTTATAACTGCCAACTCAACAATGATTTTTCAGGAAAAAGAAAAAACAAAAAACAATGATTTTTAAAATTCCCTTTGGTTAGCAGCACCACCATATATAACTGTTTGTATGAAGTTCACCTTCGTGTCTGTTTTGGGGGCGACATGCATGGGTATAATACAAGAAGAAAGAGCAAGGAAAAATTGTTTTCAAATCATTTTCTACTTGTCTTTTTCTTAATGGTTTCATTTTGTATTTCTCTGTGCATGATGCTCATATGGTATATCTGCTAAATAAACATTGGCTGGAGCTGGTGGAGAGCCAGAAAATCACATGAAAAGACCTGAAATTTTCTATGTTATAGCAGCCATGTCTTGCTCCTTTTTTTATATAAAAAATATATATATATTTAAAAAATATTATTATTATTATTATTATTATTATTTTTTGGTGTGTGGCTGCGTTATAACAAAATTACCCTTACTTATAATCTTATAATCACATTGATGTAACCGCATAAGATTGCGTATTGACTAATACTAATCTGATAATGTTTACTAATGAGAAGTGATCAAACCGGCATTATATTCTACCATTCTCACTTAATTAATATATAGTGAGGAGACTGACAAGTATTCAGAGAGAGAGGAAAGGTCATACTGGGAACCCTCTCTCCGTACTGTCAATAGATATAAAAAAAATAAAACATAAGAGAAAGAAAGGTTTAAAAAGAAGTTAGAAACATCTATATATGAGGCTATGATTAACATTACCGAAAATGTAACAAGACAAATCAACATTTGACATTGAGTTCTTAGGTATTGAGCAACCAGTAGTGTAATAACCCAAACCTTAATTAATATTTAACCACTAAACTATTAAGAGAAAAGGACATTTTTGCCCTTAGAATATTCTAGTAAAGGAAAAGTTGACTTTTTTATCGAGAAAGAATTTGGCAATTCCACGTGCACCGTTGCGTAGAGCGCGACAAAACAAGTCTATAGACACGTAGTGAGCTCGAATTGGAGTTTTAACGAAGAAAATATGGTCAAAATACGTGGAGGGGCAAAATGGTAATTTGCAAAGTCAGAATTTTTAATTCCCAATTATCTCCGTTCTCCCTCAGTCTCTTCTCTCTCTCCCGACGATCTCCCTCCAGCCGGATCTTCCAACCCCCATAGCCACCTCATCCGACCACCCTAGACCTTGCCGTCGGTGCCAAAAGGACCAGCTTGGTTCCGACTTCAACCCCCGACCACCTCCCGCCGCCAGCCGCAGCGAAACCGCCCCCGAAGGAAGTTGCCGGTTTTGACAGAACTTCCAAGCCTTCGATCTCCGTCATCCGGCCACCAAATCGGACGAGTGAGGTATGGTTTTCTAGCTATTTTCCATGCCCTAGCTGCTGGTTGGGTAGGATTCCAGAAATTTCAAGCGTAGATCGTTCGATTTTCGATTTAGGGTTCAGCCGGTTTTGAGAGTGCAATTCCGGCCACTTCCGGCCAGTTTTTGGGTTAGGTCCAAGAACAAAAGTGGTTCCAAAATGGGTGTTTTACCTAAGTTAGGAGTATGGGCCGGCGGTTTGGATTTTTTCCGGCCGCCAGAAATTTATCAAGCCACCCACGCGCTGCCGGCGCGTGTGGTGGCGCGTGGGCATGGGGACCGCATTCAATCCTAAAATGATCCTCGGTGTCACGAGCGCGTAGGAATTCGCGGATCTCAATTTGGTTAACGTTTGAACCCCGAACGGATCTTGCATCTTGTGTGATTTCCGGGTTCAATAGTTTCGAACCGTTGATCGTGCGATTGTGACCAATCTAACCGTCCGATCGAGACCAGACTCACGGGACTTGTGTCCTAGGGTTAAAGGAACGTTAATGTGGGCATAGGAGTAACTTTAATTGGATGCAGGCACTTCTAGGAGCTGGGGGTCAGGGTTTTATTTAAATATTTATATCGAGCAGTTTTATTAATATATATATTATTATGGTAATTGAATCAGGCATCCGGGCACCAGTTGACCCGCAGGAGGGACCTTCAAAAGGTCCAGTGAGCTCGGACCAGCTGTGAGTGGACTCTTTGTTTTCATAAATGAATTTATGCTATTCAGTTACAGTATTTGATCTTGAATAAGTTTTATTCAAAGATTAGTGTTTTATTAGTTGATATATGCTTTTAAATGTTTTGAATTCACATGCTACCGAATGAGATATCCGTTATGGATATAGGAAAAGAAGATTTGAGCTAAATATCAGATAAATGGCAGCAGAGTTTTAGACTTAACAGAAATTCAATTATTCAGCAGAACTTTCAGAGATTTTATATTTTCTTAAGCCACCTCAGGTACCCAGATATAGATATGTTGCCTTCGGATATGACGATGTCCACGGACATCCAGGTTGCCTTCAGTTTTGTCAGCGCGCTTGACATTTGCCTCACGAGTTTTGGGGACGCTCGGACCGTGGGAGCCAGGAATGCGGATCAGGCTGACTACGGTCCCCTGAATCCTGCCAGTTTGCGGCTCGGGTTGACTTTATGTCACCAAGACCTGCCAGGGGAATTGACGGATTATCAGGAATTAACAGAATTAGAGGGGTACACCTAGGTGGTAGTTTTAAACTGATTTAAGTGCTTTTAAGAGTTTAAAGATGACTGAGTATGATTGGCTTATATTTATAAATATATGAGTGCATTGATTTCAGTATGTATATAATTAAAAGAATGATTTAGTTTTGCATAACTGTTTTTACAGCGGGGTTAGTGTGTTCTTGTGTATTTTCTAAACTTTGTTTTTGGGTCCACTCACCTTTTTAATGTTTTGCGCCCCCAGGCAGTAAACGTGCATCTGAGAGCCACCACAGGGCAGTTTCCGCTTTCCGCTCTTCCTCAATCTGATGTAGGGTCCTTAGTTCACAAGTTGTTCCTTTCCTTGTAAATTAATCTGTATAGTTGCTCTGATGTTGCCCTAGGACGTAATTAAATGTTGGAACGTACTTATTTGTGTGTACTGGCAATTGGTGTATATTTAAGTGCTTGTTGATAGGTGGAAATTTTGGGAATGTTCGATTTTCAGGGGAAACTCTGCCGAATTTTCGGTAAAATTCAAGGCTGAAATGAAGTTAAGTTTGTAACCAGAAGGGCAACCAGGTCATTTGTGCTCGGCACCCACCAGGTGTCGATCACGAACAGGGTTCGGCTCGGATTCCAAAGTGGAATTTGGGTCGGGTCCTGTCAAGTAGCTATGTTGCACCTATTTGTAATTGCCCTTCCCTTCCTCATCTTCACAATCTTCCTCATCAAAAGGCTTACCGATACACCAAAACACAAAAACCTGCCTCCTTCACCACCAAGTCTACCAATACTTGGAAACCTCCACCATCTAGGCACTTACCCTCATCGATCCCTACAACGACTAGCTCAGCACTATGGTGAACTCATGGTGCTTCGTTTTGGTATGCAACCAGTGCTTGTAGTTTCTTCTGCAGACGCTGCTCGTGAGATCATGAAAACAAATGATATCATCTTCTCTAACAGACCCAGATCTACCATTGCAGATAAACTTATGTATGAAGCTAAGAGTGTGTCCTCAGCTCCTTATGGTGAGTATTGGAGGCAAATGAGAAGCATCTGCGTGCTCCAACTTTTAAGTAACAAAAGGGTTCAGTCTTTTCGAGCAGTAAGAGAAGAAGAACTAGCCTTGCTGACTGAGAAAGTGAAACAGTCTTCTCTGTTGTCATTGCCTGTGAATTTGAGTGAGTTGTTTGCTTCACTAACTAATGATGTGATTTGTAGGGTGGCTTTTGGGAAAAAGTATAGTGGAGATGAAGGTGCAAGGAAATTTAAGAAGTTGCTTGGGGAGTTTATGATCTTGTTGGGTGGTTTTTATGTAGGGGATTTTATTCCATGGCTTGGTTGGGTTAGTCAAATTAATGGTTTAGATGCAAGAGTGGAGAAAGTTGCTAAGGAGTTTGATGAGTTTCTGGATTCTGTAGTTGATGAGCATATGTGTACTCTTAACATGAAAGGAGAGAACTGTGGTGATAATATGAGTGTTGAAGGTGAAGATGGGAAGGATCTTGTGCATGTTCTGCTTGAAATTCAAAAGCAAAACAAGACTGGCTCTTCCATTGATAGGGATAGCATCAAAGGTATCATTTTGGTAAGTCTCTTCTCTGTCTCCACAACTAAAGCAAGAAAGCTCAATAGCTTTATGTGCCTAAGATACCTACATCAGAATATTAAAATCTTATACTTCTCCATCCGTTGCTAATTACTTTTTCGGGTGAACTAAGATCTTTCTTGGTTTATGCAGGATATTTTTGGTGGTGGAACTGATACTAGCTACACAGTTCTAGAGTGGGCAATGACCGAACTCTTAAGGCATCCGATAGTCTTGAAAAAACTGCAAGATGAGATGATGGGAATTGCTAATGGCAAAGCAGACATAACCGAGGCCGATTTAGATAAATTTCCTTACTTAAAAGCAGTGATCAAAGAAACACTTCGGTTGTATCCTCCAATACCGTTACTGGTTCCTCGCGAATCAACTCAAGAGGCTAAAATAAAGGGCTATGACATAGCAGCAAGAACCATGGTCCTGATCAATGCTTGGACAATTGGAAGAGACCCCTCAATGTGGGATGAACCAGAGGAGTTTAAACCAGAGAGGTTTTTGAACTCTTCTGTAGATTTCAAAGGGCATGATTTCCAATTAATCCCATTTGGAGCTGGAAGAAGGGGCTGTCCAGGATCCTTGTTTGCCATGATCACTAATGAGATTGTGTTAGCAAATCTTGTGCACAAGTTTGACTGGACATTGCCTGGTGGAGCCAGAGCTGAGGATATAAGCATGACAGAATGTACTGGCCTTGTCATCCACAGAAAAGCTCCTCTTGTAGCTATGGCAGCACCAAGGTTTTCTGAGAATTCCTGCTTTCCCATTTTATGATTGTGAAGGCCTTTCTGCAGTGTCACCACAAAGTTTCATAACAGAAGCCCAAAGGAAGCATAATATCATGAAATTCTGAGTCATGCTTAGCCTGAGATATAAAATGATCCTTTATATTGTTCCTTGATAATAAAAAAAAAATAAATAAATTATAGGAATTTAGACTGTCATCCTTAGATAAGATGTATTTTCCATTAAACTGGGATGTTAGATTGGATTTTGATTTTAAAGTCTTTTGGATCTACACGAAAACAAATTTCTACCTTGAATTTTCCTATGTACCAGATAGAAACTTAAATGAGGCACGGTCAAAAGCCAAACAAATTTCCAAAAGCATCTAAATTTTTTTGTTGTCTTCTGCCCAGGTGGTAGAAGAAGAAGAAGATAACAAAGATAACAAATTGAAACAAAATAACTCGTCCATAAACTTTTATGTGGTTCTCCTCTTACAAATGGACCAACAGAATGCTCACATACAAGTTTGTGAGGCGGTGGTTTCAACCTTTAAATACATTCGTTTCATAGGACCAACTCTGAAGATGCTAAATCCCTTGCAATTATTGCAAGAGCTAAATGAAAGCTCCTCCTTTTTGCAACCTTTGGCCTTCACACTGCTGGCCATTTTCCTTGTCCTCCTATACACATGGTACTCTTCGACTAAAACCACCACCCAAAAATCAACACAACCACCTTCTCCGCCAAAGCTACCTATCATTGGAAACCTTCACCAGATAGGCTCGTACCCTCATCGCTCACTTCAAGCCTTGTCCCAACGCCATGGCCCTCTCATGCTTCTCCACTTTGGAAGTGTCCCGGTGCTTGTTGTCTCTTCAGCTGAGGCAGCCCGGGAGATCTTGAAAACTCATGACCTCGTGTTTTCTGATCGACCCAAGTCCACCATCTTTGAGAAGCTTCTCTACAACTACAAAGATGTCTCAAGCGCGCCGTATGGTGAGTATTGGAGGCAGGTGAGAAGTATATGTGTTTTAAATCTTTTGAGCAACAGAAGGGTTCGGTCTTTTCGTTCTGTGAGGGAAGAGGAAACCAAATCCATGATCAGAAACATAAAGGACTCATCATCATCTGTTTTGAATCTAAGTGAAATGTTTGTGAGGCTTACTAATGATGTAGTGTGTAGAGTGGCTCTAGGGAGGAAGTACAGTGATGGGGAAGGCGGGGAAAGTGGGAGGATGTTTAAGGAGATTTTAGGGGAGTTCGGTGACTTACTGGGAACTGTTAATATTGGGGACTATGTCCCATGGCTTTCTTGGTTGAGCCATGTCAATGGTTTGGGAGCCAAGTTAGACAAGGTGGCTAAGCAGTTGGATGACTTTATAGATACAGTACTTCAAGAGCATATGAATCATAGTTCAAGGAGTGGATATGATGACCAAAAGGATTTTTTGACATTTTGCTTGCAATTCAGAAAGAAAACTTGGCTGGCATTCCTATTGATAGAGTTAGTGTAAAGGGTATCATCTTGGTAGCAATCTCTCTCTCTCTCTCTCTCTCTATATATATATATATATATATGTGCATGTGTGTATGTTTTTTGTGAAAGAGGTGTAACATATAGTAGCATATATATTTTGCAAAAGGTTAAATATCTTAATCCAATCAATTGTTTTTAGGACATGTTTGCTGCTGGCACTGATACCACATATACTGCCTTAGAGTGGACAATGACTGAGCTTTTAAGGCATCCAAGGGTCATGAACAAATTGCAGAATGAGGTAAGGGGAATAGTTGGAAACAAAACAGACGTAATTACAGAGGATGATTTGGTTGAAATGCACTACTTGAAGGCAGTGACGAAGGAGACTCTTCGCTTACATCCACCAATTCCATTACTAGTTCCCAGGATGTCAACCCGAGATGTAGAAGTAAATGGCTACAACATTAAAGCCAACACACAAGTTTTCATCAACGCATGGCAAATCGGAAGAGATCCCAAGGTGTATAACAAACCAGAGGAGTATGAGCCAGAAAGGTTCTTGAATAATGGTATAGATTACAAAGGGAATGACTTTGAATTGATTCCATTTGGAGCTGGTAGGAGGGTCTGCCCAGGAATTCAGTTTGCCATGGCTGTTAATGAAATTGCCTTAGCAAGCATCGTGCAAAAGTTCGATTGGGCATTGCCCGGTGAAGCAAGTGGGGAGGATTTAGACATGACAGAAACCACTGGTATGACCGCACATAAAAAATGTCCTCTCAAAGCTGTTGCTTTTCCACACTTTTAAGTTGAGAAATAGAGAGGGCAGTTTCATATTATTGTCTAAGGCTCTAAGCCTGTTACCAACACTGTTAGCACCTTGGGATCTAAGAATTGTCAAAATATTATGTAATATTCTATCTTGTGGACTAACTCATCCAATGAGATCATGATGTTGAACATATATGTAACTTACTGTGACATGAGTTTTGACCCTTGAAAAATGATCTTGGGTTTCTTTTTTTTTTTATCATTTTTGGTACATGGATTTTGAATCTTACCAAAACAAAAAAAATAGTCTTACATTTAGTTTTTGATTTTTTTTTTACAGTAGCAATTCAAACAGTGTTTAAACAATTAACATCTACTTGTTATCGGTAATTTGCATATATTTATGTTTTCTTTTTAATTTTCATCTCTCGCCAAGTATTATTCCATACTTGTGGGCATAATGTTTTGGTGTTGCTTGCAGTGTGGTGTATCATCTCTACTATATACTTGTAAAATATCCGAATAATTATATCTATAAAGTATAGCCCATTGGCTATACTTGTAAAATATATTTAAGGAGTATAGACACGCGGTTATACTATTAAAATCTTGGAATTTATTTTAAAGGTAATACCGGGTGGCTATACTTGTAAAATATATTTAAGCAGTATAGCCGTCAGGCTATACTGTTACATATTCGAATTTATTTTAAAAGTATAACCAATCGGCTATACTTGTAAAATATTCGAATAAATATATTAAAATATTCAAATAAATATATTCAAGGAGTATAGCCGTGGTGTATCATCTCTATTAAAAGGTATAGCCGGCAATACTTGTAAAATATTCGAATAGTTGTATCTCAAGAGTTTAGCTGCACGGCTATACATGTAAAATATACGAATTTAATTTAAAAGTATAGCCAAAATCCACCCCTTTCGACGAAAAAAATTGAAAAACAAAAACCCTAACCAGAGAGAGAGAACTATTTCAATTTTCATTGGCGATACAGGCCCTCGAGTTCAAGCGGAAGACATGCTTTAGGCATACAACTCAAAGCATTTGTTTGGTAAGATTCCAATTCGCTAGTTTCCCACTTGTATGATTTTGGATTTTGAACATCAAGCAGAACAACAACAAAAAATTTCTTGACAATGAGATCATGATGTTGAACATATATGTAACTTATTGTGACATGGATTTTGACTCTTATCCCAATTTTGTATCTCCCAAAAAAAAAGAAAAAAGTCTTACATTTAGTTTTTAATTATTTTTTAAAGTAGCAATTCAAACAGTGTTTAAACAATTAACATCTACATGTTATCTAGGGGTGGCATTTTAAACCGAAAAAACCGAAAAACCGCAAAAATTAACCGACAATTTACCGCAATGAAACCGCAATCGCGGTAAACCGAACCGCATTTGCGGTATTAAGAACCGAACCGCATTTGCGGTTGCGGTTGCGGTATTTGATTTTCAAAACTTGCGGTTACCGCAAACCGCAAAGTATAGCCGCATGGATGATGAGGTTGAATTATACAAGGAAATTAAACATATGACAACTTGTAAGTAATTAGTTTATTTATGCTAATGTTATTTATGCTTCTTCTTATAATAAAATGTACTAAACTATATTGTTTTATTTTTAGATAACATTGGTGCTTAAATAACACAACGGGGTTCTTCAAATCCACTCACCACCAACACTTGAGTTTGTAACATTAGTTTGTAACATTGGTGCATTGCATTTTCCTTTTAGTTTGTAACTTTAATTAACTTTGAATTGGATTTTTCTTTTTGGTTGTAACTTTAATTCATTTTGCTTTGCATTTTCCTTTTGGTTTATAACTTTAAAGGATTTGGAATTGGAATGCTTGAGAAGTTTAACTTTAATTGGAATGCTTGGAATTGTAACTTTAATTTTCTTAGGTTGTGAATGCTTGAGAAGTTAAGGAGATTGTGAATTTATATATGTTTGAGAAATTGAGGTTGTGTATTTATTTATTTAGGTTGTGAATTTATATTTTTGTGAATGCTTGAGAACTTGCGGTTTTAAACCGCTAATTCGCGGTAACCGACCGCAAAACGCGGTCGGTTTGCGGTTTCAAAAATCACCAAACCGCAAATAGTCGGTCGGTTTGCGGTTTGAGTAAAAATTCGTGGTTACCGAACAGCAACCACCCCTAATGTTATCGGTAATTTGCCTATATTTATGTTTTCTTTTTAATTTTCATCTCCCGCCAAGTATTATTCCATACGTGTATCATCTCTACTCTTTACTTGTAAAATATTCGAATAATTATATCTATAAAGTATAGCCAATTGGCTATACTTGTAAAATATATTTAAGGAGTATAGACGTGCGGTTATACTATTAAAATCTTGGAATTTATTTTAAAAGTAACGCCGGTCGTCTATACTTGTAAAATATATTTAAGGAGTGTCGCCCTATACTGTTACATATTCGAATTTATTTTACACGTATAGCCAAGCGGCTATACTTGTAAAATATTCGAATAAATATATTCAAGGAGTATAGCCGTGGTGTATCATCTCTACTAAAAGGTATAGCCGTGCGGCAATACTTGTAAAATATGCGAATAGTTGTATCTTAAGAGTCTAGCCGTTAAAATATACGAATTTAATTTAAAAGTACAGCCAAAATCCGCCTCTTTCGACGAAAAAAATTGAAAAACAGAAACCCTAACCAGTGAGAGAGAGAACTATTTCAATTTTCAGTGGCGATACAGGCCACCTCGAGTTCGAGCGGAAGACATGCTTTAGGCATACAACTCAAAGCACTTGTTTGGTAAGATTCCAATTCGGTATTTTCCCACTTGTATGATTTTGGATTTTGAACATCAAGCAGTAAAAATGACAGACTAAAATTCTAATCTTCTCCCCAAATGCAACCATTGACTATTCAGGATAGGTTAAACTATACATTGTTGGAATTTGAAGCAATTGAAAACACAGTTGTTGTTTTTATTTTATTTTTCAATTTCAAATAGAAAAAGAAGAGAATTCAAGGTTTTTTTGGTATTTATGCGTTTATAGTGTTTGGCATAGTGGAATTGTGAACTATTTCTACGGAGACTACTTTCAGGGAAGCTTGCAATTAATTCTTTAATCTGTCACTGCCAATGTAGTTTGGAGGGAGTTTCTGCGGAGACTATTTCTAGGGCATTTGGGGACCTGTAAAGACATGTATTCAGAGCCAAGCTAATCTTTGTGCAATTCAGGTATTGATTTAATATTCATGGCTTATGGGTAAAGCTCAATTTTCGAATACTGGATCTGGCATTTTATTTTCTTGCTCAAGTGTTTCCGTAGTTTAGCTATGGAGCCTGGTATCCAAATGTATGGTCCCTCCCTCCTCCTCCTTCCCTCTATTTCTCATCATGATGGGGATCAGGGAATTAGGAGTCATGAAGACTGTTGGCCTCTTAACTCAATTGCTCTGTGTCATTCAAATACTTGGTTCAATTTGGTTATAATTTTTTTTGGGATTGGGAATGTTAGCTGGATTTTAGATGGACATCTCATTCATCCTCCTTGTAACTTCGTTTCATTAATAAAATCTGTGATTGTTATAAGAAAAATTGAAAGAAAAGAACATGTTAGTGTGAGGTTGTGCTACATGCAACCCAGTTTCACCATGAGGCCATTAGTTCACTATCAAATACTAGAGGTCATTACCTGCCAACCCCAATCCATTGCATGCACCTGCACACAACGCTGACAGGATGACACACATTAGGCATGCATATGAACTATGACCATTATGTTCTTACACAATTGCGGATTTAATTTTTCTTTCATTTGGCGGATACTAGTCCACACTCACAAGCGATGTGTCATTTCCTTGTCAAATGCTATGTTGACTGGTGATAGTTTGTACGTATCACCCCTTTTCTTTTGGCCTTTCCCACAATTGCTCGGTAAACCTGGCAAAAATACGACTTCAACTCCTAATAGAAAATATATATTCTAATAGGATTTCAACTTCTTAACATGCACCCTGTTTTGTCCCAAAAAGGAAAATTCAGAAGTACCCTGTTTTGGTCATTGGTGAATCATAGGCTGTTAGCCTTTTGGCCTCTAAAAGATTTAGTTGTCATTATTCTGTTTCTCTCTCCTTAATCTGGTTCTTATTTTTAGTATATTAGTTTTGTTTCAAACTATGATTTCATCTGCACTTTGGAGGTTATGTTCTATGAAGGGTTGAAAGATTGAATGGAGTATGGGAAGGAAAAATAGGTATGCAATCCAAATTT